TTTCAGATTTTAACTTCTTGAGGCTACTTGCCATCACCAACATTTTTTAAGGCCGGCTTAGTGAACGTCGTTGAGCGCAAAAGCGGTTAAAGACCCACCTCCTTATTTTTTTTCGAATTCGTTTATTTTTTGTTACTCATTTCCTAACATCTGGGATTGTTCTAATATATCTTGTTGGCTGTTCAGTCGCGTGAATCTATCATTTCTCTTATTGAGGCCATTCCCTTTTTTGCGATGACATCGCCACGAGGAAAATGGCAAGTTTGAGGCTTAACCACGCTCCACAACTTGTCACATCTACCTGCACCTTCGAGTGCAGATTGCGCTAAGGAGTCTTCTACAATTGCAACTGCGTTCGAAGCGCAACACAGGTCAATGCCCCGTTTCGTGCCTATATCGCAAGTCGACTGAGTCATCGCAGTGTTTCATAAGATGAGGTGGGGTTTTACGGCGGTCATCAACCCAAACAACTTTCAGATGCAGAAAATGAACAGCTAACCTCTTTATTATTTTCTTAGGGATATAATAGAAAAAACTGCCACAAGAAAGCGACAAATAGACTTTATGTTGAAAAAAGGAGGAAGAACATCAATTCTTCATGAGAATAAGCATAGTAAAAAGTCTAGAAAGCTAAAAACTAATGAAACCAGTACAGCTATCGAGGCATGCGGAAACAGAAACATAGATCCGAACAAGGGTTGGAAAGTTATATAGGATGAGGTCTCATGAGAGGAATACCAACTAGCATAAGACTGTGATTATGGATCAGCTTTACTCCAGATGATCGATTTCCTTAGCTGCGTTTCGCAACGCTGAAACCAAATCACAATAATGACATTGGTACATAAACTAATTTTCAAGAATTTTTGAGATAAACATATCATGCAGGAATAAAAATGACCTTACAAAAAAACTTAAAATCTATTGACCCACCATCTCTTGCCTTCTCGGCGATGCTTCCAACACGATCATCGATAACGGCGCTATGCTTCATGAAAACAGGCTTGATGAACCTACAACATGCAGAAATCATTATGAGCCCATTAATTAACATGATCGATGTTCTTACTTGTGATAGAGCGTGGTAGCTCCAAGAGTAGATGGCAGGTAAAGCCAAAGAAGGAATAGCGACT